AGAGAGATTTTTGGAGAGAGAGAGAGAGAGAGAGAGAGAGAGAGAGAGAGAGAGAGAGAGAGAGAGAGAGAGAGAGAGAGAGAGAGAGAGAGGGAGAGAGAGAGAGGGAGGGAGAGAGAGAGAAAGAGAAAGAGAGACAGAGAGAAAAGGGAGGAGGAAGAGGTGGGGGGAGGAGGAGAGGGTGAGGGAGAGAGAAAAAGAGGTTGGCAAGATGGGGAGGGGGGGGGAAGAGAGAGACACTGAGTGGGCTCATGCTATGTAAATGACAGAGCGGGTCAGATTGTCTCTGAGCTAATGAGAAGTTGGGCATTGGGTCAGTACGATTTGATATAAGATCAAGAGCCTAAGGAACTCAACTACGTCGCCTCGAACATGGGGAGGTCAGAATAAAGGAAAAAAAGATGGGAAAGAGGCAGAGATGGTACAGCAAAGCAATGATCATTCAAGCACATTTGAGAGTTGATCATTCTTCATAAATGTTAAAACAATTCTACCCGTAAAGGTTCTATTTTACATCGCCCTGCTCTCCTCCCTATATCCCCGAAAAAGTCATTTAAACAAATCACATAACTAAAAAGGAAGGAGTCGTTATACAGAGATTTGCCACATCTTCTGAGAGTTGAAAAGAAGTCTGAAGAGCAGTTTGTTGCTTCTAAACTCAAAATTAGAGCAATACGTTGAAAAGACAGACACAATAACCTATACAATAATCTTTGTTTTACTTTTTAGCCAAAATAAAACCCCAGAAACAGTTCAACAATATAGGCTGCTTAAGACATTTTCTGGTTTCGATCGGAAAGACAACAGTCGGCTTGGTTATGCCCTTTTTTTGTCTGATGCGAACTTTTCCAATCGGTTCATAAAGCTGATTGTAGAATGGTTAGGTCTATAGTCTGCAGGAAAACGATCGGACACGTCGTGAAACTGATCGATACGTAAAGCCACTTGAGATCGGGCACGTTGTGCTAGCTGAGTATGATTCAACTCTGACTCAATGCCAGTCGATCTTCCGCAAAATGAGCGAAACGCTGGGCAGGAATCCATTTCCTGATGAACCCGATGGAAGATGTATACAGAATGCATTCTAAAATGCCAATAGCCTTTCTTTGAGAAGAGATAATTACGTGCTATGTAAATCCAAGTTCGTACTATTATTACTATAATTGATACTATCTGATTTTTTGGTTACTGATGTTATTTGCAACAGACCGTAGTAATGTAAATCGATACTTTGTTCAGTTTGGTTAAATTCTATTTAACACAAACAAGTTAACCAAAGTCTCAGTTTAAGAATGACTTTAAACTAAATCTTGATCAGACCATTACTACTTTGAGAAAAACTTTAATTACACTGAAAAGTGTGCAGGGGGGAGGGGTATAGGGAGGGAAGCAAGGCAATGAGCTTGTTATATTTGTACAAAATACATAACATAGTCTAATTCACTTTCACTGTGTTCATCCTATCTTCCTACCCACACCGTTTATGCCTCAACCCATTTTCCGCACCTGAAACATTTCACGAGCTTTAAAAAAATACAGTAACCTAAAACCGTTTAAGGACTTGAAGCACTTGATGTACAATCAGTGATTTTTTTTCTCGAGTAATCGTCCATTCCGAGGAATATATTATAGCTCGGATTTTGCACCGCTTCAACGGGACAGAATTTCTTGCGCTCACATGTGTGGTTTGTCGCGGAGTACATAAAGTAAAAACAAAAAAGGTGGGGGTGGGGGGGGGCGAGTATGATTATAAATGTGGTGTACACGGGAACGCGAGCACTTTAGGAAGCTTGCGTGGGAAGGGAGCGTTGTATTCCCATAAAACTACAAAGAGTTGGTTAAAACAATTTATTGAGGAACGAAAGACGCTCCTGCAAACACGCAAGGAACAATTAAATCTGTTCTGACAGTATCAGCCTATCGGGCGGAAGTCCTCGAAGGGCTTGAACTGGGCCTTTTGTTCTGGGGTTGTCAAAGTCGTTTAGCTTTGAACAATGGGACTTGGGAATTCCTTCCACATGACTTTTTGTTTTGTTTTTTGTTTTTTCTTCTTTTTAAAAAATTACTCATCGTATCTCCTCGATAGTTTGTAAGTA